TCCGTTTGAATCCTGATGTCGATTATTTTGGGTATTCACTCAGACTTTGAATTGCTGAATCATGTGGTAGGTCTATTTTGGGCTAGAATTCAAAGTATGAGCTTCTACTGAGTCAGTCAATGACTCACATGGAGGAAAGCCCAGTGGGGAATAGCTTTCAAGAGCCTGACGTTGGCTACCATGGACAGCAGGGCATTGTACTCTCAAAAATGGAGAAGAGTAGATCTGAAGTGTTCTCCCCACAAGAAAATGATGAAGAGGTGAGGTTTTGCACATTCATCAGCTTGATTTAGTCATTCCCCCAAATGTCAAGTATTTCAGAATGTCATGTTATGCACCATAAATACATACAGTTTTTATTTGTCAATTAAAAATCAATGGATTAAAGCTGAATGTGGAGTGCACGCCTGTTATCCCACCACTCAGGGGCAGAGGAAGGAGGATTGCATGGGGCCAGCCTGGTCTACATAGTGAATTCCAGGCCAGAGCTACATAGTAAGAGCTTGACTCACTGTCTTAAAATTAGATAGACGATAGATAGATAGATAGATAGATAGATAGATAGATAGATAGGTGATAGGTGGTAGATGGATAGGTAGATAGATGAATAGATAGATGGATAGATAGATGGATGGATAGATAGATGATGGATGGATGGATGGTTGGATGGATGGATAGGTGGATAGATAGATGGATGGATAGGTGGATAGATAGGTAGATAGATAGATATGTGATAGATAGGTGATAGATGGATAGATAGATGATAGATGATAGATAGATAGATAGATAGATAGATAGATAGATAGATAGATAGATAGATAGATAGATGGATAGGTGACAGATATATTATAGAAAGAAGGAAAAGTAAGGTGTGGTGGTACATATCTCTAATCCCATGCTTGAGAAGTTGAGATAGGAGGACCCGAAGTTCCAGGTTGGGCGAGCAGATGGCTCGGCCAGTTAGACCTCCATGACCCACGTGGTGGCAGAAGAGACCGGACTCCTGCAAATTATTCTCTGACTTGCACACAAGTACCCTGTCACCTGCCCTCTGCCCCCCGACAGATAAAATCTAATACAAATTAAAAATAAAAAGTTGGAGGTAATCCTTGGCTACATAATGAATTCAAGGCTAGCCTGGGCCACCAGAAATTCTGTGCAAAGAAAGAAAGGGAAGGAGGGAGGAAGAAATATGGAAAGAAAGATGGAGAAATGATTTTAAGATGATTTTTAAAAAAATCAATAAGGCTTTACAAAATGTCAGTTTAACATTGTGGGCCCAAAACAGAGAGGACGATGGCAGGTGCCTTTGCCAGCAAAGCCTTCCTACTGGCCTGACCTTAAATTTCTGATCCTCCTGCCTCCACCTCCCATGTTCTGGGATTACAGGTGTGCAGTGCCATACCCGGTTTTCAATTTTTTTTGAGACAAGTTTTCTCTGACTGTCCTGGAACTTGCTCTGTAGACCAGGCTGGCCTCGAACCCGGAGATCCAGCTGCCTCAGCCTCCCGAGCGCTGGTGTTAAAAGCGTGAGCCATCGCGCTTTTAAGAACTTTTAAATTTCGAGACAATGATTTGAGGGTCTCCCTGTGTGGCTATATGCCATTTCCCAGAAGATACGACAAGACAATCTGTCCCACAGAACACAGGAGCAGAAAGGAATAAGAGTCCCCTCTCCAGGCAGGCTGCAGACCCAAGGTTGTGGCAGGACAGAGGGCCGCCGTGTTTCCTGGCCCTTCTGTGCTTGGGAACAAGGCTTGGGGTTCAGAGGTATTGGTGTGGAAAGATGCAAAGTGGAGCTGGGTTTCTCTAAGGGAATAATGATCCTGCTTTTCCGGTACTAGCTTTTAGGCCCTTGCAGTGGGGTTGGCTCAGAGAGCAACCCGGTTTTTTTTTTTTTTTTTTTTTTTTTTTCTGGAAACGATCACCGGCGCCACCTTGCGGCAGGATAGGCAGCGACGACCCAGACCTACAGCAAGGGCTTCCAGAGTGTCGTGATGGTGCCACCCTTTCCCCACTTCTACAGTTAAGTTCCTTTTGATGCAGAAACTCTGCCACCCTTTCCCCACTTCTACAGTTAAGTTCCTTTTGATGCAGAAACTCTTCTAGTCACTTATGGACTTACACACAATCGCCCTCTCCTCAACAACTATCCTTTACATTAATCCAGATTCCGTGGGCAGGGATTTGGACAGATCACACGGTGGCAACCTGCTTGACCGTGTCTGGAGCCTCAGGTGCTGGAACCATCTAGAACCATCTAGAAGCTTCTTCCCTCGTTGGGGCGCTGGGCTGGGGTGGTGATTCCGAGGCTGAGCTCACACTTGCTAAACAGATGCTCTACCACACTGTACTACACCGGGGACTGGAGGGATGGCTCAGTGGTTAAGAGCACTTGCTGTTCTAGCTGAGGACCCAGATACAGTTGCCTGCACACTCTTGACAGCTCAGAGTCACCTGTAACCCCAGTTCTAAGGGATGTGACACCTCTTTTGGCTTCTGTGGACATTGTGCTCACTGCTACACTTACACTCAGACAAAATACTCATACACGTAAGATAAAAACAAATCTTCTCTTAGACATTATATTTTAAGGGCTGGGATTGGCGGTACACTCCTTTAATCCCAACACTCGGGAGACAGAGGCAGGTGGATCTCTGTGAGTTGAGGTCAGTAGGCTAGCAGTAGTAAGCGAGTTCCAGGACAGCCAGAGCTGTTACATAGAAACCTTGCCTCCAAAAACCCAAACCAAGTACACATGCACACACACACACACACACACACACACACACACACACACACACACAAAAAGACTGGGTCTCACTGAGTTCCTGGGGTGTTTTTTTTAATTATGTATATGTGTATATGTCTGTTCACAGGTTTGAGCACGGGAGTGCAGTGTCTTCAGATGCCAGAAGAACATGTGGGATTCCCTGGATCTAGAGTTACAGGTGGTTGTGAGCTCCCTGATATAGGTGCTGGGAACTGAATTCGGGTCCTCTGCAAGAGGAGTATGCCATTTTAAACCCCGAACCATCTCTCCAGCGCCCCCAGGATGGTCTTGAACTTGTGATTCCCCGGCCTCCTCCTCCCAAGTGCTGGGATTACAGATGTGCACTACCATGCCCAAGTGCTGCTGGTGATTTTCAAGGGCACAATATGTTGTTGTTGTTATCATAACTATAGTCACTATGTTGTACAGTGAAATATAATTCAGCTTTTAAAAAGAAGGAAACCCTGTCACTTCGACAACACAGATGCTCTCCCTGGAGAATGTTATGTTATGGGAAATGAAGCAGGCACAGAAAAAGAAACACCGCATGATGTCACCCAAATGTAGAATCTAAAAAAGTCAAACCCATGGAAGCAGAGAGTAGAATGGGTATTCTAAGAAGTTAGGGTGGGGGTTGAGAACTGGGCAGCTCAAGGTCTTGAGTTTGGGGGGGGGGCCTGAGATGGGTTGTCCTTTTGATTAGGAAGTGTATTAAGTTATTAACCCCACCGGCAGGCAGACAGCAGAATGGGGGGTGATGCCTCTGAGGCGAGTTTAGGCTGAAGAGTCAGAGTTAGGGGTGTTGCTTCTTACAGATTTCAGAGAAGCCTGGAGCGAGGATTTCTCTGAGTCCCCAGCAGGCAGCAGGGAAGGGATGGGAGGGGGCCACGGGTAGCCTCTTTGATGCCTGAGTCTGGCAACCTCACTTGGAGACGTGAGGAATCCAGGAACCTAGGGAGCCTATTGCAGACTCACAGGCTGACTCCCAGGGGGCTTGTGAGTCAAAGTTGGGGGATGGAGGGGAAGGCTGCTGTTGGCATGATGGCTTGGCTGACAGGCAGGTACTGTCAAAATGGCAAGGTTACAGTGATGGGCATTGCATGCTATGTGGGTTAAGAACACATTTGTACTTCATTCTGTGGGAAGAGATTTACACACACACCACACACACACACACACACACACACACACACACACACACAGAGAGAGAGAGAGAGAGAGAGAGAGAGAGAGAGAGAGAGAGAGAGAGAGAGAGAGAGAGAGAGAGAATGTGAAAAAACTCCTGGTCAAGATGGTGGTGGTGGAGACCCGGTGTTCCAATTGGGCTGGTTCAATCACTTTGGTTAAGGGACCACCCTTAGGAAGGTGGGTTCATCGTAAGCAAGTCAAAGCGATGGGAGGAATGATGGCTGTACATTTCTTTCCTAGAATCCCCTCCCCAGCTGCAGCTGGGAAGGCTCTTAAGTCTGTCTGGTTTTTATTTTTTTCTTCTGAATTATTCTCTAAAGCATAAATTCTATTTTTTACAATCTATTTAAAATCTAAGCGTATTTTCCTTAATGCTTTGGGTTTTCCCCAACATTTTGGGTCTTTCTCTAGAGCCTCCCTGCCCACCACGTGGCTGCTTGCCTGGCACCCCTCTGACCTCCACACCAGGTTAAATGGCTGGCCCCTTCTCTTCTTTCCTCCACTCTCCAGGCATCTGCTATCTCTAATAAAATAGTCCTTAATTTTCTGTTTGAGTCCACTCTTAAGCACCCACCTCCCCACCCCCAGGGTTTCTCTGTGTAACCCTGGCCATCCTGGAACTTGCTCTGTAGACCAGGCTGGCCTCGAACTCAGAGATTCTCCTGCTTCTGCTCCCACGTGCTGGGATTAAAGGTGTGCAGCCACCACTGGCTGGCCTCTTAAATTCTTCTATTAGTGAGACAAAGAACCCCAGGAGGGGATCTGGTTTCCCCTGTGTCTGTTTGCTCTGAGCTAACCTTTAAACTAGATGTCATCCAAATGCAAGACTCAGGACAGTGATGCTTGTGAACCCTCCCCTGTACAGAGAGGAGAGGATAAGAAAAAACGCACCAACTCCACAAGTCTCAGAGACAAGACTGGCCACTTGACCAGAGGGACAAGATGAAATTTTAGAATGACTGACTGCCTTTGTTTTCTCTTCCCCGTAAAAGCTGCTAGTTAAAGAAGGCGTGGAAGGCAGATCTTTAGGGCGCTAACCCACTCTCTGAATAAAAAGCAGCTCAGAGATTCAGCTTCTGGTTTTGTGCATATGCCGGGCTGATTACAAAAATATGGATAATTCCAGGGCGAGGGAGGAATAAATGTAAGCGTTCTGTTGAATCCGCTGTTTCCAGGACATCACGCAGCTCCTCAGTCAGTCCACACTGAGATGCTGACCCACATTCTGGCCTTCAGTCAGGTGAGGAGATAAACATCTCTCTTACTTAAATGACTAAATATATGTCTGTGCTGGGGTGTATGTATATGTTTACATGTGCACAGCGGGGGCCCGGAGGTTATCTTTAGGAACTGCCTACCTCATTTATTTATTTATTGTGTATGTGAGCATCTTTTTTTTTTCATTCTGCCGTGCACTTACAGAGAACAGAGGACAACTTATGGATGTGTCCGGTCCGGTCTCTCCTCCCATCACGAGGGTCCTGGGAATCGAACTCATGCTCTCCGGCTCAGCAGTAGGTCTTTCACTGGGACCTGGGGCCGATAGGTTTGGCTAGACTGGCCTTGAACTCCAGCCTCAGCCTCCGGAAGTCTGGAAACACAGCGTATAGCACCATGCTTGGTTACATCACTCATTTACTCAAAGAACAATATTGAAGTTTATTAAAAGGGGATTTTACACATAGATTTAAGCCCCACAGTAAGTTGAAAGAGGGGCTTAGAGAAACAGGTCAGGTACACCGAGTGTGGGTGTGGTTTGAATCACCTGGTACTTGGGATGGGGAAACAGTCCGTTGTGAGGGAAACGGGGAAACTCTTTCAATTGTTTTTATTCTGTCTCCTTCTAGTGTCTGTGAGTCAACACCACAGTTCTCAATTTATTAGTTCACAAGTTTAGGTCGCTGGCTAGGTGCAACCTCACACTTCCTTGGCTTTGGCTTTATTTGTGGTGTTCAAAGCTGGCTTACAACAACAAACAGCTTGTTTGCCGGTGCTCGTTAAAGGAATTAAAAAAAAAAAAAGCAATTTCGCAATAGATTTATCACAAAGATCTGGCTGACTCATATCAGGGGTCTGCAGCCAGGCGGTACCTCACCCTAAAAAACCACAAGGCACTTGAGCTGCAAAGGGAGGTCACAGGGAGGTCAGCGTGAAGAAAGCAGAGAGAGAGAGAGAGAGAGAGAGAGAGAGAGAGAGAGAGAGAGAACACGGGGTGAATAGTTCACTGTCCTCATCATCCAGTGAAGTCCCCGGGGATTTCCTTACCATCCTGAGCCAGATGGCCTGGAAATTTTCTGGTTTTAGAAGACAGCCTGCTGTAAAGTTCAGTGAGATGACTTGGCTATTAGAAGAGGGGACTCCACTGCGGCTTGATCTGGTCTCCTGGGGCCTGGTGCAGGAAGCCGTGTAGCCCACAGACTCTCTGGTAAAATAGGTTTAATTAATAGTGGAAACTCTCTAGCATGGGTGGTGCAGGCCTGCAAGCCCTGAAAGGCTGAGGTAGGAATAAAGGGGGAGGGGAAAACACAAACAGGAAGAAGAGGAAGAGGGGAGGAAAGAGGAAGAAGAGAAGGAATAAGAAAAGGAGGAAACGGGAGGGCTGGAAGGTAACAGCCAAGGGCTTGCAGCATGCGCAAAGCCAGTACTACATAAACTGAGTGTGGTAGCGCAGGCCGGCAATTCCGTGGCTCAGGAAGTGGAGGACACAGGAGGATCAGAAGTTCAAGATCATCCTCAACTCCATAGAGTCTGAGACCAGCTTGGGGATGCGAGGCTCTGGGAGGAGGGGAACGGACAGAGAGACACAGAACAGGGAGAGAAATGACTTTTGCACGAGCGCCACCTGGAGGCTCATGGTGGAGCTGCAGCGGGAACCTGGAAATATACAGAAGGAGCCCTTGAGGTTTCAGGTGTCCTTAGCTGACTGACAGGAGGAGATGCATTCCCAGTACCGGAGGTGCAGATGAGAGGCTTGCATCCTTGTGAGAGAGCAGGAGAGGAATAGAAGGCCCAGGTGGGGAATAAAGAAATAGCTGAGCGTTCTAACTCTGCAGCTGCAGGCAGCCTGCCAAGGCGTTTCAATTACTGAGCTGACACCATTTTTCTTCTTCTTGCATCTGACTAATATAAAAAAAAGTGACTGAAAGTACTTATGACCCAAGAAGACTATGAAGGTCATTAGACTCACCTTCTATGGCACCCAAAGTCACAGACAAAGATCTAGATGACGGAAATGGTGGACCACGCCTTTAACATGCACTTGAGAGGCAGAAGCAGACAGATCTCTGAGTTTTGGGGCCAATCTACTCTACATAGAGAGTTCCAGGACATCCAGGACCACACAGAGAAAGCCTGTCTCAAAAAACCAAAACTAACTAAACAACAACAACAACAAAAAGACTTAGATCCAAGGGAAGTGGACAATGGGGAAAATCGATGAAACAATCATATCTATGACTTTACTAACTTAAAAAAAGTATATATACATATACATATATGTTTATTTATTTATTTGTGTGTGTGTGTGTGTGTGTGTGTGTGTGTGTGTGTGTATGTGTGTGTATGCATATGCACAGAGGCCAGAAGAGGTGTCAGATCCCCTGAAACTGGAATTACAGGCCGTTGTGAGCCCCCTAATGTAGGTGCTGGAAACCAAGCCCGGATCCTCAGCAATAAAAGCCTAGCAGTGTCAGATATGATTTCCATCTTATGGGAAAGGCCTTAAATAAATCAAGAAGTAGTTGGTTACTTTCATAATATTCATGCCGTGGTTGTACACCTATTACAGGCAGGTCACCATCGTAAGACAAAACAGGTTTGTAGCTGGGTGATATTGCTGTGAGAGACCCCGAAACTCTCAGTCCTAAATGGGATGTCTTCATCAAATCCCTCCCCTCAAGGCTCAGGGATCTGTTTGGAGAGGGGGGAGGAAAGACTGCCAAAGCCAAAGGAACTCCAAGGAAACCACATCCTACACACACACACACACACACACACACACACACACACACACACACACACACATCAATAGATGTATGAACTCAAAGAGACTATAGCAGCATACCCAAGACCTGCACAGGCAAAAGCCAGACAAAATCCCAGCACTGAAAAGGGAAAGTGGATGAGAAGTCATGTTTGGTTCAAGACAGGATCTCACTATATAGTCCTGACTGACCTGGAGCTCCCTTTGTGGTTAGACCAGACTGGCCTCGAACTCACAGAGTTTCACCTACCTCTGCCTCTCCAGTACTGAGATTAAAAGTGTGCACCCCAACACCTGGCCAGCCACTGACTTTTGACTGTGTTTACAGTACTAGACACGAATTTCCCCCTGTGGAGCAGGCCTCAAGTCCAACCAGGGCCTCATGTTCAATCAGGAAGCAATTAGTTACCCCTGTAACAGACTCGCCACTACTGCCCCAGTGGGCACATCTCATACTTGGCTGTTTGGTAGCGTTCACACTGGGTCCACAGCTGAGAAATGCTGTTGATGGCAATTCTCCCCCAGCAATCTGCAGAGCACTTTCCGGCACCACAGGGCCTAGCCAGCAGGAAGTAGCTTCTAGCCCAATCCCATTTCTCTCTGTCTTGTGACTAAGATGTATGGTATCATTATGACTTTTTTTTTTGGAGACCGGGTCCATGCTGCCCATCGGTGATGACCTTGAACTTCTGATCCACTTGCCTCTACCTCCTCAGTGCTGGGATTCCAGGAGTGTATCACTATTTCCAGTTATGGTGCCGGGGACTGACTGGATCGCCGGTTTGATGAATGCTAGGCAAGTTCTTTATCAGCTGCGCTGCATCCCAGCCGTGGTTATGCCATTTTATCCGTGTCTACGACTGCAGATTGCTCACAGTCACTCTCTACCATTGCTCCTTCTCGTCCTTCTCCACCCACTTCCTCTCCTTTCTCCTCTCCCCTTCTGATGTTGTGCGTATGTAAATCTAGACTCTGCTAATGAGAGAAAGCACGCAGTATTTTTCTTTCTGAGTACGGTTCATCTCCAGACTCATCTATTCCCTCCCGCGGAAATGACATAATTCCATTTTTTTCTTTATGGCTGAATAAAACTCTCTTGTGTGTTTATTGTTCTTTTGAAATAGTATTTTTGGTTTTTTTTGATACAGATTTTCTCTGTGTAACAGCCTTGGCTGTCCTGGAACTAGCTCTTTAGTCCAGGCTGGCCTCAAATTCAGAGATCCACCTGCCTCTGCCTCCTAAGTGCTGGCATTGAAGGCGTGTGCCACCACTGCCCAGCTTTGAAATAGTATTTGTAAGATACTTGTTTTTTCATCATGCATGTCCATGTGTGTGTATGTGCACAGGAGCATGTCAGATCCCCTGGAGGTGGTGTTACAGTTACTTGTGAGCCCTCAATACAGGTTCTGGCAACCTGACTCAGTCTTCTGGAGGAACAGCAAGTGCTCTTAACTACTGAGCCATCCTGCAGCTCTTTAAAATGGTACTTAATTCTTTGAGAATTTCATGGAATGTATTTTGATCAGATTTGCCATCCTCCCTAAGTCCTCTCAGACCCACCGCCTTCTCTACCCACCCCATTTCATTTCCTCTCTCTCTCTCTTTTTTTCTTTTTAAGTTCATTGCTGCCTAAATACTCGGGTGTAGGACCAGCCCATAGATCTTGATCAACTCACCCGGGCCACACCCTTAAAGAAAATGGATTCTCCCTCTCTGAGCAGCTTTCAATAGCTCCTGGGGTGTGGGACTTCGAGCCCAGCTCCCCCTCCATGGTGGGGTGATTTGAGCTCGCACAGGTCCTGTGCATGCTGTTATGACTTATGTAAGTTCATTTGTGCAGTTAGCTGCCTTACTGTGTCCTCCAACTGTTTCATTGGAATCGATCACCTCAGACTCCTATAGTCTGTCTACACTCCTTTTTTTTTTTTGAGACAGGGTCTCTGTACACAGCCCTTACTGTCCATCCTGGAATTTACTATGTAGACCAGTCTGGCTTCAAACTCACATTGATCCACCTGCCTCTGCCTTCCTTCTAAATGCTGGGATCAAAGGTGTGCGCCCTGCATGGACTGGCTTTCTGGAGCCTTGCTCAGCCTTGATGCAGGGGGAGGGGCTTGGTCCAGCCTCAACTTGATGTGCCAGACTTGGTTGACTCCTCATGGGAGGCCTTACCCTCTCTGAGGAGTAGATGGGGTGTAGGTTGGGGAGAAGGTTGTGGGGAGCAGGAGGAAGGGAGGGAGGGACGGGGAACTGTGGTTGGTATGTAAAATGAAAAAAAATTAGAATAAAAAAAAAGGTGTGAACCCCTGTGCCCGGCTCCACCCTCTCTTTCTCCATGACCTCTGAGCTCTGCGAGGAGGGGGAGTGATACAGATTTCTCACTCAGGGCTAAGTACTCTGAAGTGTCTGGTTCTCTTCTCTTGTGCGTTTGTACCATGTTTCCTTTTTCCGTTCCTTGGTTGATGTACATCATCGGTTTCACGTTTTGGCTGTTGTGAACAGTGCAGCAGGAAAACACGGGCAGGCAAGTGT